GTCAAAAGGAGAAGAAACAATTACAACATTTTTATTTGGTAGCATAAAAACAAAACTAACTGCAGTTACTTATGTAAATCACTTACCACTTATGTCTAATTACTATGAAGCACAATAACAATTACACATAACATTAAGTGTGTCAGATTGACTTTGCTAAAACTTCTGATTGTAACACCAACCTCTGTGTACATATGCTTAGTGTTAACTGTCTGTTGCTCTTGTGGTATGATCATCTGCTAATGTGGCACGGTCGTCTGCTCTCGATGTTAGAAAATTAGTGGGAGCACTGGCTTGCCAGACTTCCTTGTCCATATCCTCCCCCGGATCTTTTCCAGTGATCCTATTATCCTACAATTTTCTGTTCGTTCTGATGATCCTTCCATCCTTTTTTCAAAACCCTTTAATTCAATCCATTTTTAAAGAGCACTTACTCTGTTCAAGGTACTGTAATAGTAGTTGGGGGGGATACAAGGATAACTAAGGCAACCCCCACTTACAGTCAAATATCAGGGAATAAAAGGAAATCTTAATACGAGGCAGAAGAAAGTTGCTATGAATCTTCAGGAAATGCTGGTTGTGGCTTTTGAACTAGATATTAAGAGTAAGTAAAATTTTTATATGGAATTGACTATTCTGGACATTTTGTATAAAGAGAATCATACAATTTATGAAGCAGAGAAGGGTGGGGGAGTTGCAATTTTAAATAGGATGACCAAGAAAAGCTTTAGGGAGAATGACACACAGGATTTAAAGGCTGAATGCAGGGGCGCCTGGGTGGCTCAGTGGATTAGGCTGCTGCCTTCGGCTCAGGTCATGATCCCAGGTCCTGGGTTCGAGCCCCACATCGGGCTTTCTGCTCAGCAGGGAGCCTGCTTCCTTCTCTCTCTCTGCCTGCTTCTCTGCCTACTTGTGATTTCTCTCTGTCAAATAAATAAATAAAATCTTTAAAAAAAAAAAATAAAAATAAAGGCTGAATGCAGGTGAAGGCACAAACTATGTGGAGATCTGAGTAAAAAGCATTCTGGGCAGAAAGAACAGCCAGTGTGATGGCCCCGAGGCTGAAGAGTGCCTGGTGTGCTGGAGGAACAACAAGGAGACCAGTGTGCTATTAATGGGGGCCAGATTGCACAGGATTTTATAAAGCATGATAAGGTTTGGCTTTCTGCTCTATGTGAAAGAGGAAATCAGGGCACCTGGGTGGCTCAGTGGGTTAAGCCTCTGCCTTTGGCTCAAGTCATGATCTCAGGGTCCTGGGATCAAGCTCCACATCGGGCTCTCTGCTCTGTAGGGAGCCTGCTCCCCCACCCTGCCGCCTGCCTCTCTGCCTACTTGTGATCTCTGTCTGTCAAATAAATAAATAAAATCTTTTTTTCAAAGAATAGATTTAAAAAAAAAGAAAATCATTGGAGAACTTTGAACAGAAAGTAGCAAAATTTGATTTACATTTTATTTTTCTAAAGATTTATTTATTTATTTACTTGATTGGGGGTGGAGGGAGGGGCAGAGAAAGAATCTTCAAGCAGACTCCCCACTGAACGTGGAGCCTGACATGGGGCTCAGTCTCATTCCACATGAGATCATGACCGGAGTCAAAACCAAGAATTGGATGTTCAACTGACTGAGGTACCCAGGTGCCCCTGATCTATATTTTCAAGGGACTGATCTTTAAATAGACCAATCATTTTGAGAATAAAATGTGGGAGAATAAGGGTGGAAACAAGGAGCTCAGTCAGGAGGCTTTAACAATAATCCAGGCAATGGAGCTCCTGGCTGGCTCAACTGATAGAGCATGTGACTCTTGATCCCAGGGGTTGTGAGTTCAAGCCCCACATTGGGTGTAGAGAATGCTTAAAAGAAAAACCTTAAAAACAAAACAATCATCCAGGCAGGAAACAATGATAGCTTGGACCCAGGGACAGCAGTGAAGGTGTTGAGAACTGATTAGAGTCTGGATATAATTTGAACCGGAGTTGGCAGGATTTGATGACAGAATGAATATGGGATATGAGAGTAAGAAAGGAGCCAAAGATGATTCCAAGATTTTTGTCTGACAACTAGAGGAGGAAGTGTCCTTTACTCCAGTGGGTAAGACTACAGAAGAAGCAGGTTTGGGATGGTGGCAGCAAAGATCAGGAGTTAAGTTTTGGATGGATTAAGTTTGAGATGCCCATTAAACATTGAAGTGGAATATGCAAGTCTGGAGTTCAAGAAAAGGTCTGAGAATTGTTAGGAGGGTAAGACACAAACCTTCTGAGTGACACTCCATCTGGGTGGTATCTTCAGCAACAGTCCATATGGGGAATGGGAAGCTTATACTTCGTCTAGGAGCATGGTGATTATACCATGTTCTATAGAGCTGCCTCTGCTTGGTAAACAAATTTTGTATCTTCTACTGTTTATTAGCCTCTTGCCTCCAATCACATAATTGTCCCTGGGTAATACCCATAAAAACACTTAAATTCCTTCCTTTTTTGCTCTCTTTCCACTTTCTAACATCACACACTAACTATGCTATCTTTAATCCATATTGTATTTTACTCCCCAATAAAATATCTTGCCAATGTCTCATTAATTAAGAACAAGATCCTCCTCCTTTGGTGTTCACAAGGACACACTCCCTTTTTTTAAATTGAGATATAGTCAACACATAACATCATATTAGTTTCAAGTATACAACAGGATGATTTGATACACGTACATACTGCAAAATGACCATTACAAGAAGTCTAGCTAACAATCCCAAGTCTTTTCTTAATACTGGATGGTCTGGATATGAGGAAGCCAGCCATAATGGTTCACATATGTCTGCAAATAATTCTGGGGTTAACAAACATTAATTAATGGAAATGTCCACACAAAGCCTACAGTCTTGTCCCATGGCAGGTGTTCAATTAAATCTAACTGATTAATCATTTTGGCTCAACCAGCTCATCATACAGATCTTTACATATTGTAGGATCTTGAGGAAAGAATCCTCTACTATCTCCCACCATGGCTGTCTGTGATCCCAACTTAGTATCTTCTTACAACCCAGGCTCATGGCAAAGCTTTCTCTTTTCTCCACGACTTGATTTTTGTTTTGTTGCTGTTTTCTTTCCTGATACTGTCTATCCTCTGAATGGGAACTAGCCTCTGTCTGGCCTGGTAATGTCCAAAAGACTTTGCAAATTATGACTAACATAAAGATCGCCTCTATGAGCCAGAGCAAGACTCTCCGGTGTTACCCCGTTATAGCCACACCCATCCCCAATCCCTAACCCCTGACAGCCACTAATCTATTCTCCAGCTCTATGATTACCTATTTCATGATTGTTGCATAAATGAAATCATGAAGTATGTAGAAATCATGAAGATAGAGCATGAGTGGAATAGAGGAAGAGAGAGGATCCTAAGCAGGCTCCATGCCCAGTGGGGAGCCTGACACTGGGCTCTATCTCACGACCTTGAGATTGTGACCTGAGCAGAAATCGAGTCAGATGCTTAACCAACAGAGCCAATCAGATGCCCCAAAGTATGTATCCTTTTGAGACTGGCTTTGATCACTTTGTATAATGTACTTGATGTTCTTCCGTGTTATTGAATGTATGAATTAGTTCATTCCTTTTACCACCCAGTAATGCTCTGTGGCATGGATGAACCACAGTTATTTTATCCACTTACCCTGGGAAAGGTATTTGAGTAGCTTCCAGTTTTGGAGTATTATCCATATACATCCATGTACAAGTTCCTGAGTAAAGACAAATCTTCATTTCTCTGGGCTAAATACCCAAGAGCAGAACTGCTATGTTGAATGGCAAGTCCATTTATTTCGGTTTTGAAAGAAATGGCCAAACTATTTTCCAGAGTCAGATTGTTTATTTTTGGAATTTAATTATGACTCAGTTCCTAGAAAGACGGTCTACTACTTCTTTTTTTTTTTTTAAGATTTTATTTGAGAGAGAGAGAGAGAGCGCGTGTGCAAGCAGGGGGAGTGGCAGACAGAGGGACAGGGAGAGGCAGCCTCCCTGTTGAGCAGGGAGCCCAATGTGGGGCTTGATCCCAGGACGCTGGGATTGTGACCTGAGCCGAAGGCAGACACTTAAGCAACTGAGCCACCCAGGCTCCCCTATTTACCTCTTTCTGATTAGAGAACTATCCTTCTCAGAGTCCTACAGAGTCTGATGGCCTTGGATTCGATCCTGCTTCAATCACTTATTAGATGGGTGAGACTGAACAAGATATTTACCTTTTTTGAGTCTCAGATTCTCTGTTTAAAAAATAGGAACATTAGGGGCGCCTGGGTGGCTCAGTGGGTTAGGCCGCTGCCTTCGGCTCAGGTCATGATCTCAGGGTCCTGGGATCGAGTCCCGCGTCGGGCTCTCTGCTTGGCAGGGAGCCTGCTTCCCTCTCTCTCTCTCTCTGCCTGCCTCTCCGTCTACTTGTGATCTCTCTGTCAAATAAATAAATAAAATCTTTAAAAAAAAATAGGAACGTTAATGGCCAATACAGTAAGAATTTAACAAGATCGGCATGTAAAATACTCACAGTAGAGTGCTGGTACACAGTAGTAAGTTCATGCTCTCTCTTCCCACTCCATGGCAAAATAATAATCAAATATTACTTGCAACATTTTTATTATTTGAAATTTTTAAAATCAAAAGAAAGCATGTTAGCTCTTCTTCTTCTTTTTTTTTTTTTTTTTAAAGTAGCTTCCACACCCAGCATGGAGCCTAGTGCAGGGACTGAAACCACAATGCTGTGATCAGAACCTGAGCTGAGATCAAAAGTCAGATGTTTAACTGACTGAGACATCTAGGTGCCCTAATGTTAGCTCCTTTTGTGCATGTTCTATTAGATAAATTTATCTTTAATAGATCCCTTCTGCATAATTTTTCCTAGGAAAAACCATTTTCATTTCTTCCTATCAATTATGTTTACTGAGGTAATCCCTATAATGCTTGGCAACAGAAATGAGTTGGTATATCCCCATTAAGCTCTGTGGTTTTTGTCTCTTCTAGGTCAGTGAACAATTTCCTGATGACGGGTCCAAAGGTAAGAAAAAATGGCCTTTGATTTATCTGGATTTCACTGATCTTAGCTTCTTGACTGAAGACTATACATGTCAATTTCTTTTCATGATATCCACATTTTTTATTAGCTGTGTATATTCCAGAAGTAAAGACGTGGCATGGAGAGGGTTAGGGATGCACCCAAAAGAACACAGCAAACTACTGTCAGGACCAAGGCAAGAACTCAGGAGAACTGATTCTGAATTTATGGCCAGAAGTTCCAGAACCACAAAGTCAATGGCCTTTCCAGGTGTCAGGTTGCAGCCACACATCCTTCTCAGTGCAGTGGTAGGACACAGCTCTCCATCTTTAAAATGCTGGCTTTGTACTCCATGATCTCTAAGGACAGTTCCAGCAGCCAAATGTTCTTTTCTAAGACAGTAATGGGATGAGAACAGCCGAAAATTCATGAATTATGTAATTTGGACTCATTTTGGAGAGGCAGAATAGTATAGTGAACAAAGGCTAGCGAGGTCTAGGGGCACCTGGGTGGCTCAGTTGTTAAGCGTCTGCCTCTGGTTCAGGTCATGATCCCAGGGTCCTGGGATTGAGTCCCACATGGGGCTCCCTACTCAACAGGAAGCCTGTTTCTCCCTCTGCCCCTCCCCCTGCTTGTGTTTTCTCTCCCATTGTCTCTCTGTCAAATAAATAAAATCTTAAAAAAAAAAAAAAAGGCTAGTGAGGTCTAGATCTGGTAACATTGAATTTTGTTCCTACTGTTAGCATGCTAGCTGTGGGACTTTGAACAAACTGCTTTACTTCAACTTTCTGAGCCTCAGATTCCTAACCTATAAAAATAGTACCTATTTCACAAGGTTATTTGTGATGTTGAATGGTATAGCATATTTAATTAAAGTGCTTACTCTGTCATTATTTTATTTTTTAAAAAAGATTTTATTTATTTGTCAGAGAGAGAGAGAGAGAAAGAGAGAGAGAGAGAGCACAAACAGGGGGAGCAGCAGGTAGAGGGAGAGGGAGAAGCAGGCTCCTTACTGAGCAAGGAGCTGAACAAGGGACTCACTCCCAGGACCCTGGGATCATGACCTGAGCCAAAGGCAGATGCTATACCAATTGAGCCACCCAGGCGTCCCTGTCATTATTTTAGAAGGAGAGAAGAGTGGGCAGGAAAAGAGATGCATGGCCAGTTCAGTGCAAATGCCTCCCAAGTTCAGCTGGGAGTCTGAATTTTGACCCCTGTGTTTCTGTAGGCCTACTTGATCTATTCCAGCAGTGTTGCAGCTGGTGCCCAGAGTGGTATTGAAGAATGCAAGTATCAGTTTGCCTGGGACCGATGGAACTGCCCCGAGAGAGCCCTGCAGCTGTCCAGCCATGGTGGCCTTCGCAGTGGTAAGGAAAGCCTCGGTCACAGCTCCCTTGACCCCCTGGCCATAGGTTAGAGCCCCGCTCTTCAGGGATGGTCCCCTGCTGCCTCTACATCAGCATCCTAGTTCTCACCTGGTCTCTACTCTCAGGTGATCCTGTCTCTGGGATCTTCTCTGTCCCTTTTCCATCTCCTCCTTCTTACAAAGCTTTTTTTTTCTTTTCTCTCTTCCCAACACCCTCACTGCTCAATGCATGGACCTTGCCTCACCCCTAGTCTATAACATCTTTGGCCTCCCAGTTGGCTAAGAGCTTCCTCACACTATAAAGAGCATCAGGAGGTAGGTAGGAGTATTAATTCTTCATGCCTCTTAGCCCCTTCTTTCAGCAGCTCAGCAGAGAGGTACAGGATAAGTGGGGACTAACGTGGACACCGGATTCCCAAAAAGATAAAGAGTGGCCATACCAGTCAATGAAGTAGCTGCTAAGCAGAGGTTTTTTTCAGGACTAGCTGGCCCATGACTCTTAGACTTCAGTATTTCAGGAAGGAAAGGGCATGAGTTCTTTACAGCCTGGCCTTCAGATTCATCTCCTTCCCTATTTCTTCCTCTGGCTCTTTGCCACCTAAATCCTTAAGAATCCTGTAGGTCAACAGTCATCTAGCCACCTAGTCATAATGTGTGACCTGAAAAGATGGGAGGGGAGAAGCGTAGCGCTCAGACGGAGGCTGGAGCAGACCGTGGAAGAGGGTAAGGTACATTGTAAAGGTGGAGAAACAGGTTGGAGCTGGGGATGAGAGCACAGTGATGGCGTTCTGGGGACGGAGAGCACAGTGATGGCACTCAAGGGAGACAGCATGACTGCCACTGAGTTGTAACCCCTGCTCTGACTCCCCCATTTTTGTTCCTGCCAGCTAATCGGGAGACAGCGTTTGTACACGCCATCAGTTCTGCTGGGGTCATGTACACTCTGACTAGGAACTGCAGCCTCGGCGACTTTGACAACTGCGGCTGTGACGACTCCCGCAACGGGCAGCTGGGTGAGTAGAGGTACGGTGGGTGGCCAGGGCAGGCCGGTGAAGTTCACTACGAAGAAAAGTTCGGTGGGTAGTTTGGTGGGTGAAGGACAGTGGTATTCTTCTAAATCTGGGGAAATCAGGGCTGCCCAGTTTAAGCCGAAACCCTAGAAGTGACAAACCAGGCTCAATGTAGCTCAGGGCCCTCCTTCTCCAAGTGGGGGGGTTTCCTTAGTTTAAACACAACCAAGGAACACTCCCTGTGGATTCAATCCTGCTACTCTCTCAGAACAGAAGGAACATCATTCCATGTCCCCCAGTATCCATGTCCCCCTACTGGGGGACATGCCTACCCATTTCCTTTCTACGCTTTACCTCCGCTGTCCTCTGGAATCCTCTCTGACCTCCAATTCAACTTTCAACTTGGTTGGTCCATATTATTTCTATTGTGCCCCTGCCCCCCAAGCTGGTGCTTTCCTCTCCTTTTTCGGGCCATTGTCAATCGCTCACCAGGCACGAACACACTCTGCCCAAAGACCAGAGATGGCGTGTAGAGGGCCAAGCCGCAGGCACCTTGCACAGAATCCACTCCTCGAGGACTTAGGTCATGGAGCCCAGAGCAGGGAACTGGCTGAGGCTGGAAGTGGAAGCGGAAATGTGGCCTAAACAAATCTAGGCTGAAACTGATCTAGAGAGAGGATACTTGCCCAACGCCAAACCCAGTTAGAAACAGTAGCCCAGGAGCCCATGCCCGCCTGCTCAACGACCCTTCCTCCCCTCGAACCCTTCCAGGGGGCCAAGGCTGGCTGTGGGGAGGCTGCAGTGACAACGTGGGCTTCGGAGAGGCAATATCCAAGCAGTTTGTCGATGCCCTAGAGACAGGACAGGATGCTCGGGCAGCCATGAACCTGCACAACAACGAGGCTGGCCGCAAGGTGAGTCCTGCAGCCCCCGGGGTGAGGCAGCTGGCTCCACCCCCATCAGCCCTAGGTGCGGACCCCTCTTCAGTTCATTTAACAGATTGGAAAAGCGAGGGTCCAGGCCCGCCAGCTACATGGACTAGCCAGCCGCCTCGCAATCCCCCAGCAGCCAACTCCCCCGCCGCTTACTCCCTGGCCAGCTCACTCCTAGCTCTCTCCCCAGGCGGTGAAGGGCACCATGAAACGCACGTGTAAGTGCCACGGAGTGTCCGGCAGCTGCACCACGCAGACCTGCTGGCTGCAGCTGCCCGAGTTCCGCGAGGTGGGCGCGCACCTGAAGGAGAAGTACCACGCGGCTCTCAAGGTGGACCTGCTGCAGGGGGCCGGTAACAGTGCCGCCGGCCGAGGCGCCATCGCCGACACCTTCCGCTCCATCTCCACGCGGGAACTGGTGCACTTGGAGGACTCCCCGGACTACTGCCTGGAGAACAAGACGCTGGGGCTGCTGGGGACGGAAGGCCGAGAGTGCCTGCGGCGCGGGCGGGCCCTGGGCCGCTGGGAGCGCCGCAGCTGCCGCCGGCTCTGCGGGGACTGCGGGCTGGCGGTGGAGGAGCGCCGCGCCGAGACCGTGTCCAGCTGCAACTGCAAGTTCCATTGGTGCTGCGCGGTCCGCTGCGAGCAGTGCCGCCGCCGGGTCACCAAGTACTTCTGCAGCCGCGCCGCACGGCCGCGGGGGGGCGCCACGCACAAACCCGGGCGAAAACCTTGAGGGGCTCCTTGGCCCCCTCCTTTCCCCATCTGTCCTAGGCTTCTTTTAGAGAGACCCCAGTGATAGAGGAACCTAGGAAATGCCCCCCGCCCCAGCATCCCCCTGCCCAGGGATCCCAGGAGGGAGAGACACCACCATCTCTCCAGTTTCCAACCCTTTTCCCACTGTTTCCTCTAATTCTTCTGCGCTCTCCTCCAACTCTGTCCCCATCATCCTCACCCGGCACACTTAGGTGTGAGAACTCCCAGTCCTGAGATTTTGAGCTCCTGATCTTCCTTGGCCTACGGTGAGAACAGGCGCGTCTCCTCCCCTTCCTTGCTGCCCTAAGGCCTGGCCTGGCCTGGCCGATGGAGCCTGTGGAAGAGCACTGCCCAGATTCACAGGGCCTGGCCCGGGAAAGCCATGCTTTTCCCTTTCTCCCATTTTCTTGCACCCCTCCCCCCATCCTTCTGCTGCCAGGTCTCTACCACAGCCACATCTTTTCTTTCTTCAGAGCTCCTTCCATGCTTCTGATTCCCTGCTAACCGCTGGCAGACACCCCAGCAATCTCTAATGCTTTCTCTCTTGTTCCCGTTCCCTGAAGAAAAACTGACAAAACTGACCCGGGAAAAAGCATGTGTTTGGGGTTTGTTTCCCAAAGGCAGGGCCTGAGGATGGAAGAAGTGGGAACCCTAGCAGGGTGACTTGCTGGAAACCAAGGGTGCTACTCATCCATGTGATACGGTGACTCCACCCGTCAGGCCGTGACCTAGTGACCTTCAGACAATCACCCGAGGTGCCCCAGGCATACCCACAATGTCTGGGAACTATGTAAGGGCAGACGACCAGCCACTCCCTGGCCCTGAAACTTCTCCCTGCTCCTAACTTATTCCTTCCTAGCAACCGACTTTACCGCTCCTCCTTCCTCAAAGGATCCTTGTTTCTCTGAGCCAAGACTGAATGAAATAAAGCCCATTTCCCACTCAGACCCCACTCTGTACCTCTAAAAGCAGGTCATGAGGAAGGAGAAGCTGGGACGTTTCCTTTTCGCAAACCTGGATCTCAAACAGGCAGGATTCAGGGCATTGGATATTTGCCTTCAATAGGTAAACTTCCTGCGATGAAACTTTCCAGTTGGAAACTCAGCACCTTGAACTTTAATTTATTGAAGTCCCTGTGATATGTGCCTTCTTTTCTAGGTATTGAACTTATTCTTAGGGACACTGGGGAGGGTGGGTGGAAGGTAGAACTTCTAGGCCCTCTCTTCCTTCCCCCCCTTGCCAGAACACTATCTTCCCTCAAGCCTCACTTTCCCGATGGCCTACGTAGTTAACACTGGGCTGACTGAGGCTAGCCTGCCAACAATTAGTGAATCATCCACACAAATCTTCCCTCAGTACCTTCACTCAGAAGCTAAGAGCTCACTGCTTGTGAGCTCACTGCTTGAGAGAAAAGCAGAACAGCAGGAACTTGCTTCTGAAAGAGGGCTCTGGAAAGGGAAGAGTCAAACCCTGACAGATTCTCTGTAGCCCATGGAGCTTCCCAGCCATCTCCCTCCTCCTAAGCTGGTCATGGGTCTGGACACAAGACAGCTCTTTAGAACTGGTCAGATGCCAGCCCACCTCATCCTACCTCCCTGAGTAGGAAAGGGCAGAGAGATGTGGCTCCAAGTAGGTAATGGGCTAAGGCTTTCGAGGCCAACCCAGGAGAGTGGAAAGGCTCCTTGTATATTCCAAATTGGGACAGTGGCCAGGTCAGACTCCAAACCCCTAGCCTCATCCCTGTACATCCTCTGGTCAACTAACACTTACTGAGGGGAGAGGCTGCCTGCCCTTCCTCATGGGGGACACACTTCCCTTCAGGATCTCCTAGGGCTTCATTTCCAGCTCTATCAGCAAAAGCCCTTTTTTGCTCCTTCCCTCAGCTTTGATCTGGGCCTCGTGAATCTCCCAACTTGTCCTTCTTCCCTAATCAGGTAGCAGCATATACTAACCTGGCTGTCCCACTTGGCAGAATTACTTAATAGTGTACCATAAGAAAATCTGGCAAGGCCACTAGAAAATATAAAAGAACGGGGCTGTAAAGGAAAACTACATTCTCCAAGTCTCTCAGCATAAAAGCAGGACAATTATTGTGCTTCATATTTGATAATCCCCGGCCAGTACTTGAAACCCGTCATTGCTGCCAGAAAGTTCTTTCATAGGTTGTTGTTTTGTATTGCCAAATGGATATGATTGATAACCAGATTCATCTGAGTTCTATAAAGAAAACATTATTGAGCTAACTCAGATCTGTATTGCTTTTTTTCCTCTCTTACATTATCCATGCATTCATCCGGTCATTCAGCAAACACTGGTGAACAAATACAGTGGTGAACAAACAACACAGAGACCTCCTTGCATTCATGGAGTTTAAGTTCTCTCTTACGCTCAATCACCAGGGTTGTGTACCCCTTTGCAAAACATGGACGAGTCCAGAACAGCTGCTTGGTAGGACACCTTGGAGGTCAACCAGTCAAACCTTTTGTTTTATAGATTAAAACCGATGCTGAAAAAGATGTCTGTCTTGCTCAGCCAACTAGTAAGTTACTGTGGGGTACATACTGGAACCCTTGTCCTTTCCTTCCTCTGGCATACCCTTTAAGGCCCATGTGTCTCCACCAGAGAGAAGCAGAGGGAGATCCTGAGAAGTGACAAGGACACGGCGTAGGGGGAAGGGGAGCGCAAAACACTCTCCTTCCTGTTGCTGGCCTGTGGGCCTACACACAGGCAGGGCTTTCTTTTCTTGAAAAGAATCCCAGCTTCAACTGGCCTTAGCAGCAGGTTAGGGCAAAGACAGAGCCAGGGTCGTGCTCAGCCCTGGTGGTGCTGGCGGTGGTGGGAGGGGAGGGCAGGCCAGGGCACCCGCCTATTGTGGGTCTGGATTGGATGCTTCCACTCATTCATTTCCTTTTAATTAACCCGCATTCCTGGAGGAGAAATATTTATGTTGGCTCCCATAGAGGCAATCCGCAGACTGGAAAGAAGGGGGAAGAAAGCCTGCCTTAGCAAAACAATATCTCTAAAGAGCTCAAGGAGAGAAAATAAGAGAACAAAATGCCATTAAAATAGCCTTCTACCCCCACTGGAGTCAATGAAAACTTCATTTCACATGCTAATCCCCCACTCCGCCCCTTCTCTTCTCACAACACCTTTCCCGAAAGTGTTTGGGAAAAGTCTTCGCAGTCAGTACACAGCTCCCTGCAGCTCAGACTTCTCCTTGTGTTAGTTCAGGGCCCCAAGTGGGGCTCTCGCTCCAGCAGCGGCTTTTTTCTCCCCCCCTTTAATTTAAACAAAGACTTCAGAGTTCATCAACCTCCCACTGAAATTCACAGCTGCTGAACAAACTAATCCCCTCTCCCTGCCTTTCTTCCCTTCAATGGGCTCTTGGCTTCAAAGACACTTTGGGAAAGGACTTTGCTGGGGCTCACACTGCTTCCTCAATAGAAGTTAGTGCAAGTATTATCTGAAGAGCAAGTGGCTTTACAAACAAATACTGCCTAACAATCCCTTCCTTCCAAACACACACATCTAGCCCACAGACATGATGGGATCTACAACAGGATTAGAGATAGTACCCCCGGCTTCACACCCAACCCCTTTGTGCAGCTGAGCTCAGCCCTGAAGTGGTGTGGGGAAAACCCTAGAGCTGAACGTCAGGCACGGACAGACACATACACACACACACCAGAGTGGCCACAGATGCTGCAAGGCCTTCTCCTCGCACCCCCTCCTTTCTTCAACTCTCTAGACTCCCCATGGGTCTTCAAGCCTCTCTCCTGCCTTACTGGGGTGCAGGGAGCAAGAACAAAGAGAAGAGGAAGAGAGGTAATGGCAAAATAGGACCCAGAGGAGACAATAATTGGGAGATGACTGAGGAAACCAAATCAAAGCAGCTTTATTGCCCACTAAGTACATCAGTGCTTCAAATGCAAAGTTCAACCATGAAAAGTGCAGCCAGAGAAGGCAGCCCTGAGACATGTGAGGGCTGAGGAGAAGGGCCTCCAACCCTTGAGGAGCAGTGCCAGAAAAGTCTTTTGTTAATATGGCTCCTGTTGCAGAATGGGGTTGATGATCACAGAATGAATGGCCGAGGGCCTTGGGCCAGGGTCCGGGCAGGTCAAATCAGGTCAGGTCCCCGCAGGCAGTGGTCCCTCTGCTCCTGTCTCACAGCCTAGGACAGCTCCCAGCAAAAGGCGGTGCGCCCCTTCTACTTTCCGCCTAACCCAGCCCACCCCTATGATACTGGCAGAAGAGAAGGTCTTGTAAAAGGAGCCAAAGTTCCTCCTCTTGCTTCCGCCCAGTACCCACCCCTCATGTCCATGACTTGTTCAAAAGATGAACAACGGTCAATTCTAGCCCAGTCTTTGGGGCTCAGAAATTAAAGGACCTGGAAATATGAAGTCAGAGGCAAGGAGAAGGTAAGGTCAGGCTCATAACTCACAGAAGGGGAAAACAAATCCCCAAAAGATACGTACAGCAGAGGTAGACTTGGAGGTAATGATCCCGCTCAGCCCTCCGAAGCCACACTTAACACAGAATCCCCCTGGGGGAGAAGACGCCCTGCTCCGGTCCGTCAGAGTCCAGCATCAGGGAAAGGGAAGAACCGGCTCCCTCTGCCTCAGAGGCTGAGAGCCTTGGGCAGATTCTAGAAGGCCAGGCATAAAAGGGTGGAAAGCAGGCACTCTGCTAGCTTAGAGGCAAGCCCACTGCATCATATACTCGGCAGCAAGGGAAAGGGGTGGGGGAAAACAAACAAAACCCATTCCAAAATTCCCCCTTTTCTGCAGGGAGGAGTTACGTCACAGCAGAAGTAGCTCCTGGCAAGGGAGGCAACCTGGTTTACATGTGCAGCTTCTGCGCAATGGTGAGGACGGCCTTCAGGACGAGCATAAAGCTGGAGACCTCGCTGAAGCTGCTGCAGGCCACCACCTGGGCATGCACTGCCAGGCCCTGCTCGAAGTCTCCCGCATCCACACATCG